AACTTGAGCTGTTCCAAGCTTGTTATAACAAGGCCGTTACAAGCTTGTCGCGACAAGCTTGCTGCAAACATGGCCGCGCATTAAATCTCGCTTGAAAACACGCGTGTTTTCCCGGAGATTGTGAAACAAAGAACAAACAACACAAAGTTTGATGTAAAAATCATATTATTTTAAAAACAAATTCAAAGGTTAGCAATTAAATAGAAACTTCACATTTGAAGTACCAAGATTACTAAAGGCTCAGTACAAGAACATATGTATTTTCCTTTCTGAGTATATAGCCTAATAATCAGTTCGTAAGAAAAGTTTCTTTGCATTCATATGGTAAAAATTAACTGGTGCATGAATATTCTTGTATAATACCAGTATTTCAGTCACTTGTTGAATTGACTTCGTCGTCCCAAGAATCAACAGCTAGCTGCACCTCATTCCTATAATTCACTTTGTTTGATACGACTTTCCGGCCAATACCTCAGTTTAGCTCCAGTTTGATAATCAAATTCCTATAAAGTATAATATACAATGGCTTCAGGAATCAGTTACTTTAAAAAATATGCAAATATTTTTGAGGAAACTGGTTTGCAAATACGTTGAGGAAACTCCATCCTGTCTGCTGTGGCGAGGGTCTTGCTTGCCATCCAAGTCTAATGTCAAATAAGTAATGTACAAATACTTTATTACCATAATACGTAAATATATATTATTATTTCTAATCATAGCATGCTAAAAACATACGCACAGATATTAAAAATAGGAAATTTTGCACTTTACCGCACACCTACACGTCATTAAAAATATTTGAATTATTGAATACAAAAAACCGGCAAAGTTTCGATTTTGATAAATATCCACAGAAACTAACAGTTCAATGTTTATAAAAAGCAATAAATTCAACAAATATTTTAAAAACTATATAGTTTTAAAAGGCTAGCTTGTGTACTATAATAAATTGTGTTGCCGGCGTTGTGTACGCCATATCAAATATTTGGATGAATTAAACGCACATACCTTTATTAAAACGTCGAACTGTAGTATTCTTCAAACTTTTTTAAGTTGCCCATCCGTTTTAACTGATATTTCAACGTTTATTAAACTTTTAAAGGCTTAAAAAATCAAAGGTTTTGGCACAAAGATAGCTCAATGACCAGGTGAATCAGTGAACTCTTGAAAAGAGCAGGGAAATTTGCAAATATACTGACGTATATTTCAACCAATGAGATCACTTATACATAGTTTAAACAGAGTCTGAACCAATGAGATTACTCCGTTGAAATCGTCACTTCCTCAACGGTTCAACGGTTATAGATATCCTTGAAACAAGGAAATGTTCATCTGTAATGTTTTTAAGGAATTCGGATTCTTTTCAAATCTTATTACTAAAAGAAGTTATGTATATATATCAAATTTATTGAACAATGTTCAAACGAAGAAAATGCAAACGGGACACGAGATCCCATGCGAGGCATTCTTCCGAACTTCGTTGCAGAGTGTTAAAGTGTTTAAAAGCTCGTTGATCTTGCTTTTTCCATTTGATGAATGGCAATGATCAATAAAATCATATTTGGCCCAGTTCAAATTGATTTTGTTGTTATCGGAAAACTTTTGCCGTTAACAATGTCGCTACAATTTGTTGGAACTGTCTTGTTACAGCATTGTCACGCGCAGCCTTCGTACAAGCTTGTTGTGACAGGCTTGTTACAACTTGATGACTATAACAACTTGTCAACAAGTTGCTCCAACAAGCTTGGTACAGCTTGTTGTCGACAAGCTTGGAACAAGTTGTTCCAACAACTTGCTACAAGTCTGCAAGCCAACAAGTTGTAGCAAGCTTGATGTCAACAAGCTTGCTACAACCTGTTGTCTCAACAAGCTTGTTACAACTTGTCAACAAGCTTGCTACAAGCTTGTTGAGCTAACAAGTTGTCAACAAGATGTGAGATTTTTAGGTGTAGTTTGCAATGTGATAGTAATAGGTCAATGTCCGCATCTCGGATTTGTTTACGTTTTTTATCACGTGACAAGCACACGTGCTTTTCAGACCTGAAGTCGCGTATTGGATTCAACACAGAGGAGGTTGGACAGCTGTCACGTGAATTTCTCGACCAATGAGATTGCGCTATTTTCCAAGCGTGCTTGCGAAGATTTTGAGCGAGAAAATTTACATAAGACGGAGAAACATAAAAATATTGAGTATATTTTTTAAAGTTTACTGATTAAAACGCATATTTTTTGAAAAAAGATTCATTGGACTGGCGATATCTGTCGAGATTATCGAGGTAAGCGTTACTTTTTAAGTCGATTTTTATAACTGAAGTTGGTCGGGTCGTTCCGAAGTGATGAGTCATGTGCTTGTCTGTTTACAATTTTCAAAGTTGAAAATCTCGAATTCCTGTGGTTCGATTTTTGAGATTCTTTGTAAGAATGAAGTTAAGTATGTAAAAAAAAAATCGGCTGGATCGACCCCTTGCGACCCCACACCATTTCCGAGATATCGGGCTTTGAATTTACCACTCTTGTTTTGAGATGTTCAAAATAGCGCATTTCGGGTCAATGGGATATTTCCCTTTCAAATATTGTTTAACTACATAATTTGTAATATTAATGTAAATTTTATTTGTATTCATGGTTTAACTTCCTTAGTTATTAACATTTAGACGGGAAAATAGTATTTTTTTGTATTTTATATAGATTTCCATTTTTGGCAGTGACGACTCCTATGCTCATTCGCTAACGCCTAGCTGTAATCCCACAACGTGGTCAATTGAGTGTTAGATCAGCACATTTCAAACAACCAGAAGGCTTACCACCACCACCACCTTCACAAAATTGATAAATATGAAACATATTGTGTGATTATATGTTTTCACTTCTTCAGTAAAATAAACTGACATTTTATATTGGTTCTGTTCTTTAGATGCTTGTTGATGTTTACAGTTAGTGTGAGTTAAGATCTGCATTACTAAGCCATTGTGTGTTAGAACTGGCAATATTTATGTATATTAGGTTGATTGAAAAGCTAAAGGCATGAACACCTTATCTAGTACAATTGATCTTCAAGTTTGCATGAATTGTAAATGCTATTAGCATAGAAACAATAGCATAGAAACAAAAAACAATGGTGTGTGTATGCAGGTTTTTACTTTTTTGAACATCATGTAAATATATGTATAAATGCAAAATCTTGGCTGTTTTGTCAAGGCAATTTTACTTACAATATTTTATAACCATAATAAAATTTGATGAGTTTATTTATTTGTTCATCAATAAATACAGATTTACATATTTATACCATGTATTGTATGAATATTTTTCTAATTTTCTTAATACTGCAAGGGTTTGTATGAAATATCACATGACAGTGAAGTGCTTTGGTTATAGACAATAGGTTTTGAGGATATAAAATAGAAAGCCTGGTTTCCATACAACATTGTCAGGGTGTTGTGTTAACCATTAAGAAAAATATCTATCATTATTAGTTATTATGCAACAACTTGATTGTCATATGGAAACCAGACTAAAAACAAGTTGATGGCAAAAATGCTGGAAAAATCTACATAGGTTAGCCAATGGAAATAATTGCAGAAATTCACAACTTGCAAACCCTGGTTCTTATGAAATTATATGTCAACGTACACTCATACTAGCCCTTACAATCTGACCTTCCCATTTACCACGCCTCTTTATCCAGATTTTTGGATAAAATCCTATTTTTAAAAAGTTAACCCGAAACTTGATGTGTTCAACATAGACGTCTAGTATATCTCCTGCTGCAATCAGTGGATGTAAATACTTGCAATGTTCAGAAGCTATATATCCAACATTTTCCCATTGAGTTCCATAATGAAGATCAATAGCAATTGCATTTTGGTCCCGAGGATTCTCCGGCTCTGGTCTTAGTCTAACATTTACTGATTCATTATATTCAAGGGCAAGATATGCCTGTTCCAGATGATGTTGGTAACTTTGTTCATGAGCAGCTCCAATGCACTTGAATGGTAGAGCATGAGTGATTTCTTCCTCATCACTTTCAACTTCTTCACTTTCATCTTCTTCACTGTCCTCATTATTAATTTCGATGTCATCAAAATCAGGAGTAACCGCATCCACAGCGCTCGTATTTTCTGTCAATACACGATCCACATCAAAATCCCAAATTAAAAGCATTCTCTCCGCTTTACAATGAATAAATTCATCAGGGATAGTACCAAACTAAAAAAAAGTTTCAGTTAAATTTTAATACACAAATCAAGCCTTAAAAGTTAATAAAAAATATTAAAAAATGAGGTGTTGACAAGTACTTTATACTAACCTCAAATATAGTACTTGCTTTAACGTTGATGACACAAGGAGATTTAAGGCCATTCAACTTCGAAAGCAGTGCTTCGGTGTTTGGTATAATACAAAGTCTTCTTTCAGACGGAGTATTATGAAAGGCGAAATGGCAGCAAAGCCCATGCAGCTTAAAAAACGGTAAACTCGGTACAGTAAAAGATAAGTCGTAATGCGGATCGCAACAATACATATACATCATAGTATTTTGCACTATCGCAGCTTGAAAATCCTGTCTTTCGAAAGCATCCATTTTTCCTATACTCGCAGAGCTCTTCACATCACGACAGTCAAAACGTCAAATGAAGCGTTCGCATAATTGAGCGCTCAATACCCATCATGCTTTGCGGCCTGCTGTCCAACCTCCTCTGGATTCAACACAACCAAAATGCAACGCTTAAACAATGCCTAAGAAATAAGAATACTTCTTAAATGAATATATAGCTGTAAAATTCCCAGTAATTGATATTCATTGCGTGAAACCTCTCTGTTTTATCATGAAGACCCTAAAAGGCGGTTCTCTGAAGTGCGACATTGAGATGAAACTCAAAATTTTGCGTGGGTGGAAGACTGGGGATAGTAATTTTTTAGCATTTGGTAATTTTTAGCTTCATTTAGTAATTTTTGATAGGTTGGTTTGGTAATTACCTCTCGAAAAGCTGGTCTCACAGGGCGCATTGCTATTTTTGCTGTGCTCAAATTGCAAAGATGGCTCTATCGGCGGACAATGTTCTGGATATGCTACGGCTCAGAAATCGTGAATCTGACGACGAAGGTCTATCTACTGACGAAGAGGATGATTTAAATCACCTTTTGGCCGATTCTGCTAGTGATCCAAGGCAAGTATTTATGTATTTTTAGCGAACAGATATTGTCGCGTGACCTTTGCTGCTTATCATATTTCTAAATATAACACAATTTCTTGCTTTGAATATAACAAATATAGGGCTTGTAGTATATTGTCAGTAAAATCTAAGGTTTGAAACGTGCATCACCATAGTGCTTCCCACATGTGGTGACCCACATGGCCTGGGCATTTATATTTTGCATTCTTGTCTCATATTGCACAGGATAATACCATAGAATTGTATGTTTATGCTATTTTTGTGTTTTCATAGTGAATCCAGTGATGGGGAAGAAGATGGAGAAGATGAAGTTGATGTCAATCAGGGGGGGGATGGTGAATTGGGGGAGAGTAGTGGGGAAAGGGCCCGATCCCCAATTAGGGAGCGAGGTGGCCCCACTTCTGTAACATCTACCAACAGAGGAAGAGGTAGTAGGGGCAGGGGAAGAGTGGGCAGAGTCATTTCTGAAAGTGGTAGGGCCAGGGGTGGAAGTGGTAGGGCCAGAGGTGGAAGAGGCAGAGTTGGAAGGGGTGATAATGATGAGATGTATAAATCGTATGATCACCCGGATGTTGGGAATAACATCCCTGCCTTCAAGCCAAAACGTCCACCTGGAATCCATTTTGAGGGCCCTGTTTTGAGGGGAGGGATGACAACTGCCTTACATTTTTTTCGACTCTTTCTCACCACTGATATGATCAAATCAGTTGTTGCCCACACTAACAGCTATGCTTACATGAAAATTTTAGCTGGGGGCCATAATTCATATCTCACTAGTGAAGGGAGCTGGGCAGCTACTACTGAGGCTGAGATAAATAATCTGATTGCTATTTTAATTTATTTTGGTTTGGTTAGGGTAGACTCAGATGTTGAAAAGTATTGGAGCACAAAGACACTTTATCATGGTCTTTGGGCTAGGTCCATACTTTCCCGTATTCGATATAAAGCCCTAATGGCTTTCTTGCATGTGGTAGACCCTGCTAATGAGACCCCAGGTGATAAGCTTCGTAAGGTTGATGAGTTCCTTGCATCATTCAAGAAACGATGCAGTTTATTATACCAACCTCACCAAAATATAGCAGTTGATGAACGAATGGTAAAGTCGAAAGCAATATCAGGGATTAGGCAATACATGAAAAACAAGCCTACAAAGTGGGGGATCAAACTTTGGGTATTGGCAGATAGCTCTAATGGGTATACCATCGACTTCAATGTATATATTGGCAAGTCTAAGCATGATGCACCATCAAGTCATGGCCTTGGATATGATGTGGTGATGAAGCTGGTAAACCCTTACTTAGGACAGGGCTATCATGTCTACTTTGATAATTTTTTTTCATCACCCAAGTTAGTACATGATCTTTTTTTGCAGGCCACCCCATCATCAGGGACATGTAGGATAGACAGAGAGGGTTTTTCCAACTCAATGAAGAATGTAAAAGTGTGGGCAAGGAAGGAAAAGCGAGGGAGTATGCGATGGGAACGAGAGTCAAATGTCCTAATATTACAATGGATTGACAACAAACCTGTTTCATTAGTGACATCAATTGATTCGGCGAATGAGAAGGTAGTTGCGAAGAGAAGAAGGAAGAAAGATGGTGTGTACTCTGAAGTTAGCGTAGACCAGCCCTATGCCTTCTATCGATATAATCAGTATATGAATGGGGTGGATAGATCAGATCAGATGCTGGCTTGTCACAACGTTTCACGTAAATGTTATAGATGGTGGAAGACTTTGTTCTTCCACCTTATTGATATTGCCGTTGTAAATGGTTTTCTCCTTTTCCAACAACATCGTAGAGAGAATCCAGACAATCCAGCTTTGAATCGTCATAACACATACTCAATTGTCAATTTCAGAGAAGAAATTATAAGGGAGATTTGTGGGTTGCCAGAGTATGATGTGCCTCCTGTGAATGAATTTGTTCCACCTGCCCCTCCTCCAGATGATCAGTTCTGTACTGTTCATTTGATACGTTTCACTCCAGACGTGAGACGTCATTGTGTTGTGTGCTATGCTGCTCGCCGTGGGAAGAAAAAAGTCACAACTTATTGTTCTGCTCCCCAGTGCAATCGGTACATGCATGCATCTGGCGAGTTTGAATGTTTTAGTGCATGGCATAGTAGGGATTATCCTCACAGATCATGAGTACTTCTAGTTTAGGTAATTTAGATGGATATTTTGTCCAAGATCAAGTTTGTCAAACAATGAAATCTGTGTCATATTTCCCATTGTGATTGCAGATCATAGCTTTGACATACATTTCCATTTTTGAATAAATTTTGATCCCTATATTTCAATAAAGTGTGTTGTGAATGAAGTTATGTGTTATGATATATTTTTGCATGTTTCTGCATATCATGTACAATCTTACAACTTGCCTCTCAGGCTTTGTTCCCAGTCATATCAGTAAAAAAATTGTCTTTAAACGTTGCAGGACACAAAGGTGATAACTAGAGCTGAAATGTATTGTATAGTACAACGTTTTGGTTTGGGAGGGGTGGTTTGACAAAAGGTGGCTTCAAAATGCTATCAATTGTCTTTTTGCTCAATTTATAAGTATTTTGCTATTAGAAATGATAGGTAAAAATTCAATTCTGAAAGCCAATAACAATACTATGTTGTAACCATAAATATATGTTAGTGACATAGTTGCTAAAGTGAATATACATGTAAGTCAAACATGCAGCAAGATATTGGCGTCGCAAATATGGTAGAATTCAAAAAATGACAAAAAAATATTTCCTTTTTATGAATCACCTTCAAACTAGGCCAGAATGTGCCTAACACTCTACTCTAAATTTTCATCTAGAAAATGTATACACCCGACTATTGTCTATTACAAATCCTACATTCTGATTGGCTACTCAACCATTGTCTATTCGTGATGGTGAACGTTTGGGAAAAATTACCGTATAAAATTGAATTAATTAAATTTTTTTCGGTGTAATTGCGGTGTATCGATTATTTTCTCGAAATTGATATATCATTATTATTATTATTATTAAAACTTTATTTCATGAGGGATTCACATTGTTACCTTAAGGTATTCTTCCCAATGGCCCTCGAAAGGTAATATGCAAGATTTCATCGCGAGAAACATTGGCAACGAATGATATGCTTGCATACAGTGCAGCTAAATTCATTAACATGGTCTACTTCATTGTTTAATTGAAGAAAAAAGGTTTTAAGCTTTTTTTTATAAGAGTTAGGTGAATAATTTTCAACGATTTTTAACTCAGAAGGTAAAGAATTGAATAGACTTGCACCACTATAAGATATCTTAGATTTAGCCTGCTCAGTCTTGACTAAAGGGATCTTTAAGTCTGTCGTTGTCGATCTAGTTTGAATTGGATGAGAGTCGCGAACGTAAACAAACAACCTTCGGAGATCTGGTGGCCAAGGAGTTTTTAAAGCATTGAAAACCATAAGAATTTTTCTCATTTTTATCAAGTTGAAGATAGGTATCCAATTAAGTTGACGGAAAAGTAATATTGAGGGTACTTCGGTTGGTAATTCAAGAATTAGTCTTGCAGCTCGTTTCTGTAGTTTTAGAAGGCACGTTATTAGTTCTTTATTTGCGTTTCCCCAGAGTGTACAACAGTATAATAGATGTGGGTAGATTAGTGCAGAGTAAAACTGAATACGACATTTTAGAATAAGGTGACTGCGTATGCGTTTTAACAGATAGAGTCTAGAGTTTATTATGTTGTAGATAGTGTGAATTTGCCTATCCCATTTCAAATATTGATCAAATGTGACACCAAGTAAAACAGCAGAAGAAATCTCCTTAATAGTATGGTTGTTGATCTCAATAGTTATTGGGTCAAGATCTGAAAATTTGGGTTGGGAGAATATTTTCATAATTTTAGTCTTTTTCGAATTGAGAGACATTTTGTTGTGAGTAGTCCAATGTGACACTGAAGTAACGTACCGTATCTAGGTACAGGGTGTACACTAAAACAATTAGACAGCTCGCCTTCGTTGTCTATTCGCTCATTAGACAACTCGGACTCGTTGTCTAATTGTTAAATAGAAACACGCTTCTCGACCAATCAGCACGCGCGCACTATAAATGTTATATTATAAAGCTTTTTGTTAATTTGTTTTGTGCGTGTGAGTTTGGAAGAACGAGAATTTCGAAGAACACGTTATTTCGAGATTTGTTTCGTCTGTATAAATATTGTAATTAGATTCAATTACAAATTTTCATTACATCACTTCGCTTGTCAATTTCGGCGGGGAAAGTCCCGTGTTTCTATTTAATAGCAAGTATAAGATGCACCAAATCTACCGTGACGCGGACGTGACATAAAAACTGCTACTAATGTTAGGAAACCAGTATTAATTTGTTTTACATACAGCTCTGACTTTGTTTATAAAAAAGAGTCTCTAATTTCCATCTCTGTTGGGAAACTGTGGAAATTATAGCAGTATTACTTCACGTCCTCGTCGGATTTGGTGAATCTTAAACTCACTAATAATTAGTCGCTGAGGGCGAGGTGATTACAAGCTAATATTCACTGTGCCGAAGGCTTGTAACCATCGAGATTGAGAGGACTAATTGTTTTTAGTATAAATTTCGATGTGTTTACAAATAATAATAATCAACATAATTTCATAAAAAAATTATAATCACTTCAAATTTCTTATTTGAGAAACAACAACCAAAAGCTATAGTCACCGATCTCTTCAATCACTTCATAGTATAAATTTCGAGGTGACTATTGATTCTTCTGCATTATTCTGATTGGTCAAGATTCACTCTCTCTGAAGTAATAATCACTGGTGATTATAGCTTTTTAGTATTTTTGAACTAGTGAATATAATAAATCCTCAAATTTGACGTAATATGCTGTTATTTTCACCTTCAGGAAAAATGGCGGTTAGCCGTTTATAGCCAAAAGGCATGCATTTATAGTATGCGCATGCTGATTGGTCATTCATAATAAAACATTTATAGTACGCGCGTGCTGATTGGTCGAGAAGCGTGTTTCTATTTAACAATTAGACAACGAGTCCGAGTTGCCTATGAGCGAATAGTCAACGAAGGCGAAGCCTGAGGCGAAGCCTGAGTTGACTATTCGCTCATAGACAACGAAGGCGAGTTGTCTAATTGTTCCTGTACCTAGATATATTAATTTCGAGAAAATAATCGATACACCGCAATTACACCGAAAAATAATTCAATTTTATACGGTCGCGCGAGCAAAATTTTCCCAAGCATGCACCATCACGAATAGACAATGGTTGAGTATAGGTAATCAGAATGTAGGATTTGTAATAGACAATAGTCGGGTGTATACTAAAACTGTATAGAAACACGGGACTTTTCCCGCCGAACTTGGCATTCGAATTATAACAATCGAATTATCATACTGATTTGCACGGACTCGTTTTTCCACTAGGGACGGCGGAGCATTATATCAAGTGCGGGGGCTACATCTTTACTCCTACTTATGATGTTATAAAAACGATTCCAATTTCCGAATACTAAGCACTGCTCAGTAAATAAGAAGTGTAAAAATCTTTTGGTTTTACTGTAAATACAAAGTGCGGGGGCTTTACTCCCCCAGCCCCGCCGTCTCTGCCCACTGATTATTCAGGATCGCTAGGGATACATTCAAGTTTGCATCCCTTGAAATTTTTGAAACAGGATAAAAAAAAAATCATGATTTTGTAGTGGACCACCTATATAAATGGCCTGCAAAGTTTTTTCACGCAAAAATAGATGAAAATTACTTACTTTCTCAAAGTTATATTAGCATTGAAAATGATATTTTCTAAGCTGCAAATTTGCATATAGTACGGAATATCCATTGTGTGATATTGAATTTGACATTGATAGTACAAATGACCGGCAAAATGGATAAGAAACTATAACAAATAATGAAGTTGAAAGCGAAGTGTAGATGTATTTACAATTCCCGGTTCTCTCAGCCTTTTGAAATTGTTTCATTTTTTGCCTGATTTCAAAATCAATATAATAAACTTAAAATCGCACTTCGTGTCGTGCATTTTTGTTGTGAAATCAAACTTGTGAAGTTGCACTTCGGCTTCTCGGTCCTGCGATTTTGTAAACACGCGTTTGATTTCCCAACAAATTGCAATTACCATTATATCCAAGTAAAGTGTAAGAACTTCAAACAAAGTTCTAGCATTTCTTTCCGTTTAGTTATTTTTCGTTATATTTCGAAATGCATTTCGAAAACGTATTTTGCCAATTTAAATCACTTACATTTTTATCGAAGCCTAGTAGTGACATAAATCGGAGTTTTAGTCTTGTCGAAGCAAAAACATCATATCGAAAAAAAATCACTGTATTGATATACTATAGCTATATATATTTAGTAAATAATCCCATTTTAAGACATGATTTCTGTATGTTAAGTATTTGTAAAGTTTGTATAATTATTTTTTATATTCGTGCCAATTCTTTTCCCGATGTCGATATCGTTTATTTTCAGCCACGCCAAGTTTTCTGGTCTGTACGTGCTTCTCCACCTGACAGGATTTTTCGAAATTTCGATTTTTTCATTTTGGACGCTTTTGGTATCGTTGACATTGTTGTAGCAGATTTTTGGATAAAATTAGTTCCTGAAACTGTAATTCTCTTTGGTGACCAATTGTTTGGTAGTGCGGCAGACGTCTTTATCATGCCACTTTCTGAAGCTGTAACTATCTTTGGTGACATGTTGTTTGGTAGTGCGGCAAACGACTCTCTCATGTTACGTTCTGAAGTTCTTGCACTTACAGGAATATTTTCACTTTCTTGCACGCGATTTGGTCGGATTTCATTTGTTGGCACGACTGCCTCAGACATGCCCATTCCTGACGTCTGCCTTTCTGTCGTCCCTATTCTTGACATCATTGACGCGGTTGTCGTTTTCAGTGCTGCAGACGCCACAGAAGCTTGGCTGGCCTCAAGTATTGCAGGTGGTGGCTCTTTATATTCCAGGCGATTTTTTGATACAAAATCCGCTGCTTGTTTGGAAACGCCTGGTGTGACTTCAACATTAACTGCCAAGCCAAGAGCGTTTCCAAAACCGGTTGCAGCCACAATTTTAACGTGATATTGCTTTTCTGGATGTTCATCAACGTCCGGCGTAAAAACATGATATTGCCACTCGTAATACCTTTCAATCCTTGTTGACGTGATTCCGTAGATTTTTTTGTCGGGGATATCGTCAAGAATTCTGTTGTACTTCGATAAGTCGGAATTCAACTTATTTATGTCACCATTATTCTTGATTAAGCTTTGCCCCAAAAATTCAAGAACATCTTTCATATCCTGAAGTCCGAATTTGTTCTCAATAACAAAGAGCGTATATACATGCAGGATTTCCACTCTCCAATTTTAATGGAAACCATGTTCCAATAACAATATTATAGTCCATACCAGCGATTTGATAGGACAGGAAATAGACTGTGTGTTTGAAAGTGTCTTTTATGTTTACTCCACCTAGCGGAATTTCCCATGAAATAGTCCCGTCTTCCGAAGGGTTAATGTCCCATGGAACGATGGATGTCGTATGTCCGGCAGTTATATACCAACTGGGGTTAATCAGCGATATTTTATTTGATCTGTTTTCTAATAAAATAGTTCCAGTTTGCGATGCAGGTACAAATTTCATTAGCTATATAATGTAAATAAATATATGGTTAGAAAAAAAAAGGCGATCGGCTTTACGAAGTTTGGATAGAGCTATTATAGCTACATCCACTGATAGTGGGTTTTTTAATCGCTCTAAAATTGCCTGTGTTTGGGATAATTTGAATTGAACTTTCTTTAAGTATCGTTTCCATTTTCATTGTTAGGTCAATATCTACAATTTTATTACTTTTTAAAGTATATTTTTAAATTTTAAAAGTTGAACAAACAGTTGAGAAAAGATGTATCCGCGGTGAATATCCCCATCCAACCTTCGTACAACCGTCCGCTGTGTGAAGTCATGAATAATCGCACATTAAACAGATTAAGAAGGGAATTAAACAGGTAGAAATATATTTTTATACTTACAGCTATGACATCTTAAGTGCCTCATAATCCTAGTTTAAGCGTTTTTATGAAATTATGCCCTAAATTGATACCTTTTTATACATTACGTTGAGAGCTGTAGTCATCAATCCCACAGTAATAGCTTCAACTGTACCGCCCTGTTTCAAAAGTAGAGGTTGAGTTACACGAGGAAGATCGTCGTTTTTTACCACCGTTAATTTCCCTTTTTTTTCCGATGTCATCTGCGCGCGAAACTTAAATTTAATACTCTTCCCACCAATTTGTAACGGTGGCAAATCGACCTGTACGAAAGAACCTGTATTTTTTGTTTTCGTCAAAGAAGCTTTCATTTTAAGATAAATCTTTTTAAGGTAGTTTTCGGTCTCGTGGAATCTTTTGGAGATTTCTACGTAAAACCTATTAGTTGACCCCGCCGATACTTTCCAAAATATCACTAAGAACCGATCAGTTGTTTCGATCCTATAGAAAAGCAATCCAGCTGTAGCTTGACCACTGGGTGTCGCTTCGAAAAGCGTTTCTATCGTTGCCCTGACTCCTATATTTAAAGGTACAGGCATCGGATGTTTTCCGTGTTTTAGGTACAGAAGTGGGTCGACGAGACGGAAACTAGTTAGATCATTATTGTGAACGGACAAAGCACATTTGGGAACGCCAATTCTGTCAACCTTGAGAAGCTTTTCAAGGATTGTGCTTGTCATTGATCCAGTTGCCAAACGAATAAATGGTGTTTCAAATGGAAATGCAACAAATGCTGAACTGTTGAAGAATTTGTCAACCGAAAACAATATACTGACAGCCAGTGCTATCCGTAGCCAAGCCATCTTTAACTGGAAAACGGCAAAAATAATCTTCACGGAAGAATGGGACTGAAGAAAATGAAACTGATTTCCTAATGCGGATTACATAGTGGTTAAGCCATTTTTTGCACATAAGGATTATAGTTTTTATGCCTGGTGGTATGATTGTATAGTTTATATAGTTAATTAACATCTTTTGCGATTGCATGACCCTGGAAGGCTGGAACAGCGCAATACATGTTATATACAACCTTATATATATGGTCAAGTTTACTGATAAAACTGGGTCGATTTATTTTTCTATTTCTGTTGACGAGCATGTTCAAAAAGTTAGAATTAAATGCAATAATTTACGGTCATGCATAAATAAATAAAGATCTATAGTCTATAAATTTCGATAAAGTAAATTTCGAAAACGTTCAAAATATTTGGGCTTGAATAATATATTATATATATAATTTCAATTTACTATCCATAATCTAGGTGACAAATGCAACAATAACTGCTCTATATATAAGGCAAGTGTGGGGCTGTTCTGTCGAAGCTAGGCTAAAGTGTTAATTGGCTGTTATTAAACAGGATTTAAATGATATCAGGTCATAATTATCTTTATCCAGATTATCTCTGAAAATTTTATTGTAGTTAAATCGTGGTCACTAGAGTAGCTAGCCTTACGATTTGTCACGCTATACTAATATTTTAGGGTGTGAAAACAATGAATTTCTAAAGAAACGAATAAGTATAATAACCTGGAATTTGGATAGCGGGACTGTTGAATTACAACTCTATCACTAACTACAGCCTTCCTGCTGAACAGGGTGTATCAAGAAAAAGTAGACAATTTTGAAATGTTTAGAAAACTATAAATTTATCAAAATATCTCATAGATTTGTGCTAGTATAGGTACTTTGGCATCTTCAGGTCATTCTAACACTAAAAACAAACAGAAAAATTGACCTCGAAAAATGGAAGAGCGGTTTGTGGAAGCATAATTTTGAATGGCTTGTGCAAACATGAATGAGAGGTTTAAAATCCAATTTGAATTCAAGGGCTGAACGTTTGGGTATTTGTTTACAAAGAATCGAAATTTCAGAAATTTTGATGAAAATTAAGTCAGCCGCGCAACTGCGTAAAAGTGGGTTTTTTTCCGTTTAACTCGCAGCTTGAGTAACTTTTTTCACAACACCATTGTTAGTTTAATCACCCGAGCAATCATTCATGCATGAAATCATTCGTGCATGAAAAAAGTTACTCAAGCTGCGAGTTAAACGGAAAAAAGCCCACGTTTACGCAGTTGCGCGGCTGACTTAATTTTCATCAAAATTTCTGAAATTTCGATTCTTTGTAAACAAATACCCAAACGTTCAGCCCTTGAATTCAAATTGGATTTTAAACCTTTCATTCATGTTTGCACAAGCCATTCAAAATGATGCTTCCACAAACCGCTCTTCCATTTTTCGAGGTTAATTTTTCTGTTTGTTTTTAGTGTTAGAATGACCTGAAGATGCCAAAGTACCCATACTAGCACAAATCTATGAGATATTTTGATAAATTTATAGTTTTCTAAACATTTCAAAATTGTCTACTTTTTTTTTATACACCCTGTATAACATATAGCCTGTGACAGTCATGGTCTGTCACTTCATCAAGGGACACTGCATGCACACTTGATTCTCTGTCCAAACACTGTGATTGAATTGAACACACCCCCAACCTCCGGCCCTCATGCATTTTAGACAAGTTCAACGGTCGTGTTTATATCTCGTTTATTGTTGGTTTCGAAACGGAAGGTCGTTCTAGTTGTTATTTCGTAAAAGACCTTTTGGCAAAAACAAGTTGTTATTTTCCGTTTTAGCGCGAAGATTTACCCCAAATGCGTAAATTTGCTTAGAAAATGCACAATGCGGTTGCCTTGCCTAGCCACGCTATGTCCGTCACAAATTGCTGTTTCTATGAATACGACTATGTTTTTAAGATTCGGTTCATTCTACACAAAAAAAGCTTACCTAACCTATAGGTTATTCATTCATTCTTCGTTCTCGAATGTGGACGCTTGTAAGAAAGCAAAGGTTTTTGCTACAGTTCTATATATATTCACGTTGTTCATTAAGTTATATAAAAAGTGCACTAGTCCACCTGTTTTCAACAGAAAAAATAAGCTTTCTTTGTATACTATCGCTGGCAGGGCAGTAACTTTTTTAGTGAACTTCATAGCGGGGCTCGGGATTTTTATACGACAACCCAAGCGGGACTTTTTTTAATATTTAGAATTGATTTGCTCCAGCACCGCGCCGTATACACATAAATTTTGCATGGGCCTGTTCCAAGTCGTCATCCTGTTACAAGTTCGTTTGCCCTAATGATAATAAGGGGGGAAAGTGAAACAAGAGTAAGAATAGTTTTGATCCTATCTTTGAACCACTGCCCATAACAAACAAAAGTTATGGCACCTCCACTTTTTGCAATTTTAAGGCAGTCCACCACAATTTTTTTTCTATAATTTTGAAAAATATAAAAATCTGTTCATGCCATATTGAAAGCCGAGTTGTTTTGAGTGAAAAAAACTTGTAGAAATCTTTAGTCACTATACAGTAGTTACCCAAACCAGACACACAAAATGGGGAAAATAGACGAATTTTGTAAACACGATAACTAACTTGGTCGATTCTTAGATAGATCTAACGATCTATTTAAAATAAACAATTGCTATTTTACTTAGACTGAAAGGAATACATCACTTTTTGTTTATGTCCGACCCATTTGTCTTTAAAGTCAACCATGAACATTTCATCAAGTTAGCTTATTACTTTTTAAGTTATTGTGCTCGAAAGTAAGGGTTACGAAAATTTCACTGAATTACGAAAAATAGGTACACTAAGCGTACATATGTCTGTGCTGGTTAAAGAATAATAATTTTGAACAGTAATGACTGTTTTATTTGAAAGAGAACAGAAGAGTTTTTATATGATGCACTGAGACCGTTCATGACTTGCAAAATTTAAGGCGATATTTTTGAATTGAAAAAAACTCTTTGCGATTGTTTTAAAATGTTGCTTAGTGGAGGCCAAACAGAACAATTGTGCGTCTGTAGACGTAAATCGTAAATATATAAACTGTTGGCATATGATATTGCCTACATTTTCACCATGTGTTATCGATATGATCGAAAGGAAGCATTTTTCATATTCTGTAACGAGTGCGGTCCTGAGTGAGTGAGAACCTCAGAAACCACAGTTTGCCGCAATCTGGGCGCCGAATGTTAATAAATAAACATCAAAATTACCAACCCTCCTCCTTTCGCATCCGGGCTTGGGACTTTTATCGATACTATGTCCAAAGACTATAAGGTTTTACTACGAGGGTAGGGCAAAACCATATCAGGGGAAAACCATATCAAATATCATTGATTTACGATCTATAGGTAAATTCATATTAATAAGTGTATATAAAGCCATTTGGCGCGATCCTATGATCCTATCTAACGACTAACTAAACACGCAAATTTTTGTTAAATGTAGTCCTGTAGTCCTGAAGACCTCTTGTGAGCAATTAAACTTGACTTAATTTAAATCCGAACAGTATGAATTAAATTAAAATATATTCAAGACAATTTACACACAAAATTTCCATTCAGCGCAGTCACGCAAACTTTTATAGTCATTTATATGAGTGATATATATTTAAGATGAAGACAGAAAGAATGTTTAGTATCGTTCATACCTGACAGGAACATGAAGCGCACATCTATTAAGTTGGCTGTTCGGAAATTGCAGCTTTGAGAACGCGCATACACGAACATTGACGCACTGGCGCTCTGACGAATGACGATTGCCTCTTCTCGACCAGTAAATCCGTACACAACTGTTTCAGATCCGAATTTCCGAAAGTTCTCTTAAAACATTTTCTCTACAACTTGACTGGTCGAAAATATTAACTAAATTTCTTAGTACGTTTTCTGAATGAATGGCCATTGCCCACTAAGTTCAACTCACGTTTATAATAGGGCAATGCTGTTGTTAGCTATATTGAACGAACTTTCCGAGGCTTCACGATAATTTTATTTCTTGCGCAATCAAAACACAGCCAAGGTATCGAAGGGTATCCAACGTCACAGATACACGACCTATGATTGGCTAGATACCCTCCAAGGTATCCAAATGCCTTATTTAGTTACTATTTTTAGTAAAATTTGAACCGCGGACCGTATCAGTACACCGTGGACGCATAAAAAATATTTTCCCGATCAATTTCCGATTGAATTTAATCCCTCGGTTCGTGCTTTCGGAAAGTTCTCGGCTTTTTTCGGTAAATCTCCATTTAACGACATAGAAACGTATTACATTTATACGTTAAGAGCTGTAATTACTCGAATTTTCATTATTTTTTGTAAACAGAAATAGCATGCGATAAAAT